CACATTTAGTACCTCCACTCTCAAGACATTCAAACACCCACAGAAAGCTAGCTCTCAACAGAGATCTGTAATTTCTTAGTGGAAATTACCAGAAGCCACTAACCTCTAATTCCTATTTCACATGAGGTAGGATTGTACTCAACTGCATTTAACAAAATATTGACTACAATGGTTTAACCAAATATTTGTTTTGAATTGGGTTCTTTTTCCCCCTGCAGGTAACCAGAAGTCCAGAGGTGGACAGTACAGGTCTAGTACAGATATAAATGAGGTCTGCAAGGACATAGGTCCCTATCCTCCTGCTTTACCATCTTCATCATTTGGCTTTCCACCTGCTGGTCCCAACAAGCATACTCCTCCCCCATTTATAGAATGCTGGTGCTCAGTTGAAAGAAGTAATTATCACATTTGAAGGAAAGTTAAAAAATTTGACATAGAAAAAATGAAGAATTAAGATACACATGCAGGGTGACTGGGAGACACCAGCACGTAGATCTTTCCCAGACACAGAATGGTCTAGAATTTTACTAGAAAATTTGTTTAAGTGGATCAAAGTAATACTTTGTTTTAAGGGACAGGAACAAAGCATTGATCGGTTAACAGGCTAACAGGGGTTACTTGAAAAGTTCAATGCAACTGAATAATTCAGCAAATAAGCTATGATTCAAAAATAAGTTTTTAGGGCTCCTGGGTGGCTCAGTCAATTAGGGGTCTCACTCTTGATTTCGGCTCAGGTCAGAAGAGTCTGCTTAAGATTCCCTCTCCCTCTGCCCCTACCCACTACCTCCTACCTCCTCCCCCCACCCATCATGGGCACGCACATTCTCTCTCAAATAAATAAATCTTAAAAAATAAAAAAACAAAAATATGTTTTTTTTGAAATATTTTATTTATTTATTTGACACAGAGAGAGAGATCACAAGCAGGCAGACAGTTAGGCAGAGAGAGGGAGGAAGCAGTCTCCCTGCTGACTAGAGAGCCCAATGTGGGGCTTGATCCCAGAAACCCGAGATCACAACCTGAGCCGAAGGCAGAGGCCTTAGCCCGCTGAGCCACCCAGGCGCCCCCAAAAATGTGTTTTTAATAAAATTTGAAAGTTTTAAATTTTATTACACAAATGCACAGTTCAAATAGCACTGTAATCTTTGTTCAGTGCTACTGTTCAGATGACTGATTTATGGCTTATAGTACTGGGTAAAAATAGGAATCACACTTCTGAGGAAATCAGAATTCAGCTTGAGGCTGGTTTAGCTTGTGACAATACCCCAGTGTTAGTTATTACACTTCTCCACCTTCTGTATTACCTTATGGAATTGCTACATCGAATTTAACACCAAGAAACCTAAATTTCCTTAGAGTAGAAACAAGCTACTATGAACAATTCCTTTATAGTAACTAAAAATTAGACTATCTGCTACAGTTAGTATCAGGGTTTCATTTTTAGCATAAGCTGAGGCAATCGCTTTCTAAATAGTTTCTAAATACTCAGTCGGTTCTATACAGTCTAAATAACCCATTTATGTTTAACAGATCCTTTCACTGAATAATCCCAAAGCACTAAACATCTTTGAGATTATAAACTCATATAGACGGAGAAGGAAAATCGTTTAAGAATAAAGACAATCCTCAATTATGCATTCTGTGAATGAACATGTTCTCAACTTGTTCCCTTCCCCTGTATACTGTCTAAAACTCTTTTATCTAATGGTAAAAAGGGTTGATAGAGATGAGTCTGAATATGGTAAATGAAATTAGAACTTGTCATTCGGCTTCAATAAGTGTATGTTAGCTCTGATAATCTAAAGTTCGTTATAGATGTTTCGGCACATAATTCTCTCGGCCTGATATCCTTCCCTAATGTCAGTTTCTAAGGGTAAAATAATTGCTTCTAATAGTTTAAAATTATTGAATAAGGGCGCCTGGATGGCCCAGTCATTAAGCAACTGCTGCCTTTGGCTCAGGTCAGGATCCCAGGGACCTGGGACAGAGTCCTGCTGTCAGGTCCCTGCTCAGCAGGGAGCCTGCTTTTCCCTCTCTCTCTGCCCCTCCCCCTGCTTGTACTTTCTGTCTCTGGCAAAAAAATAAATAAAATATTTTAAAAAATAAGTAAAATTATTAAATAATAAATGACAAGTTCCTCAACAATCAAAATATGCCCAGGCCCTTCTCACATGTTCAAGGTTAGCTACTGTGGATGCAAACAATAATTATTATTACTAATATTGGGACAATAATCATAATAATTCCATACATTTACATGGTTTTTCATTGTTTAAAAACAATTCCATATTTTGAGCCACTCAATATTCATATGAGAAAATATTCTTCAAATAATACTGCCTCATTTTACATATAAGACAATTCAGACCAAAAAAAGTTTAAGGGACTTGTCCCATGTCATAGGCATAGAAATACAATTATATCCAAGACAGACATAGTCCCTCCTCTTGCTAAACTATTCTAATGAGAAGTTCAGAGGAGTTGTGAGCAACCTTAACATGGTGTTGAGATACAGTGGTATGAGTCCCAAGGACAGACAACGTGAAGGACAAAGAAACAGACCTGGGGGTAGAGTGGTACCCAGAGGCTGGGAAATTTTCCTGAAGTAAATAAAGTCTCATTTCAGACTTCACTGTGTTGGTTCTGAGAATATTAGTTTCTTCTGAGAATCTACCAAGTTGATTTGGGACTTTATAGAGTAAAACTGTGAAAGTCAATACCTCCTAATTAACTTTAAGCCAGTGTTTCTCACACTACTGCTCTGGTACCAACCATTATCAGTTACATGGGGTGCTTGTTAAAAGACCTGGCAGGAGGGGGGTGGGGAAAGAGGTTACTTCAGACCTAATCTTCTTGGGGTGAGATCCAAGAAAATTGCTGCTTTAACTATAAATACCTTGGGGATTTTGAAGTCAAATAGCAAAATAAAGAAGACATTTTTGGTAGTGGCTCCAAAGGCTCCTGCTTCCTGCTTCAAGAAGACTTCCCCCCTCCTTTTTTTTTTTTTTTTTGGATGGGTATGGAAGAGAGTGTGTATTTGGCTATTTAGGAAATATTATAAAAGATATAGTTGGGATAAGAGTACTATATTGCAAGCTGTCAGTACCCCCACCCTTCACATGCAATGTGTTTGGCTTGGAATAGGTACTTGATAAATATTTGTTGACTTGAACAGACCCAGGTATTTTTAACTTCCATGAGTTTTGAAATGCTTTCTTTTAGCTTTCTGCTCCAATCTTCCAGTGTCCAGCCAGCAGCAGTAGTGCAATGGAGAAGGGGTGTGTGGATTTGGGGGAAAGACTGAATGAATTCAAACCCCAGATTCTCAACAGTTGAGAGGACCAGGTTCCTTAATCTGCCCCCATTTATAAAGAAGTAATAGAAATAACACATCCCAGAGTTTGGGAGAGTCTTAAGTGAAGTACCAGGTATCTACCATATATAGATATCAATGAAAATACTATAAGTGCAAATGCTCAGAATGGCGCTTTACGCCCAATGCAAATGCGTTCTATAAATAACAAACCCAGGCAGTACACTCTACAACTCCTTATCTGTAATAGGTCCCCTTAACAGGTCAGAATCTCGGAGCAATTACCAGCAAAAAAATGAAAGAACAAACGAACAAACGAGAAACCTGAAGCGACCCGGCCCAGGGACCGGGGGCTGTACGCTAGCGCGTTCGAAGAGGCCGGAAGGGGTGCAGTAGTGGTCTCTCCCCGCCCGGTTTGCGGCACGTGGTCCGCTCGGGCGGGAGCTTCGCGACAGTGGGGGAGGGGAGCGGCGCGGGACGACGCGGAGGGGGTCTAGGCGGCCCAGGCTACGGTTGGGAAGACGCCACTGCGCATGCTCCGGATAGGCGCAACCACCGCGCGAAGATCGAGGGGGGGAGCGTTCACTCGGCTCTGCGCTCCTTCTATCTACTTGCGAAGCAACAGATTAACCATTTTTTTCGTTTCACGACTGCAATTGGCGTCGCCCTCTGCAAGTGCTAATCGACAGAAAGCCTCTTATCTCAAGACTGAAGAGACTTCTTTCTTTAGTCGGACCCCTTTGTCCCCTGTAAAGGCCACAGTGGACACGTCCCACCTCCCCTCGGCCTCCGGAGGTGGTTTGGCTGCCCCCTCCCCCTCCCCAGTGTCGCGAGTTGGCGCCGCTGCCACCCCCCGCTCCGAGCTCTCGGCCCCTCGGCCGGGCGGTACCGAGTCCTCCCGGCGTCCCCTACTCTCCTCCCTCCGGCCAGCCCTTCCCTGCGGGACTGCCACCCCCACCTTCACTCCAGCCCTTTTCTCTCCCCGCCGAGCCGCGGCGGCAGCAGCAGCAGGAGGAGGAGCCGGAGCCGGGAGGCGGCGGTGGCCGGGGAGCCCATGGCGTACAGTCAGGGAGGCGGCAAGAAGAAAGTCTGCTACTACTATGATGGTGAGAGGCCCGGCCAGCAGGAGGCTTGGTGGGCAGGGCTGGGGATCCAGGCCCGAAGCCGCGCCGGGTTCCGCGGCCGCCGACGCGAGTGGGCGCCGGTGCTGAGGGGTGGGAAGGAGGAGGGACCGGCGTCTGGCCGCATCTTAACCCATTCCCGACCCGACGCCATCAGGGGGAGCCCCTCCGCGGCGAGCGGCCCCCGCGGGTTCTGCGGCGGGAGCCAGGTGGACGCCCCCTTTTCTCTCCTGCAGCTCTCCCTTCTGCAGTACGGTCCGCCGCCCCGCAGGCGACCGCCTGTGGGACGGTGCCGGCCTACCCCGTCTTCGTGGAGGTGGCCAAGGGGATGGCCTGCCCTCTCTCTTTGCTTGCCACTTGCGGGGGCTGAGGTGTGGGGTGCCCTGCTTCGGCTCCGACCCCTCCCCCCCCCCGAATCAAAATATCTACCCCGGCCCGCACTTCACACAAAGCCCCGCGGCCGCGAGAGCCCCGCCCCCAGCCCCCTCTTCCCCCTCCCCCGCCCCGTCACCGCTCGCTCCCGCCCCGCCCCTCCCTTCCTCTCGGTCTCGGGCTGGCAGGCGGCCTCTGCTCCTTTCTCCGCCTCCCGCTTCAGCCGGGACCCCTCGACCCGATCGGTCCCGGCGAGTAGTTACCAAGGGTGGGGGCCTACGTCCGCCTTGGGACACACAGACTCTGCCGTTTCGCCCGGGCTCCATCACTCTCCTTTGTTCGCCGGGTTCTTTGAGCGCCACTTTCTCAGGATTCAAATGAAAAGGCTTCACTTCCTCGATAAAAAATGGGGTTTTCGAGTTTGAGGTAGTCTTCGCGGGAAATGTGACGGTGTTAGGGAAACATGGAGCTGTTACTGCTTGTGTTGCAGATCAGACTGGATGGGTTCTGGCTTGCCTCTGTGAGAGGCGGTTACCACCCACTTCTTTGTTGCTCTTTGTTCGATCAGGAAATGGACCCTACTTTGGAGGTTTAGGAGAGCATGGGCATCTTGTTTGAAAGCTGTTTCTAGGTGTTGGGAGTTTTGGTGTAGGAAAACTTTAAGGAGTAATGCAGCAGTACTGAATAATCAGGTAAGCTCGAGCTTGCGGTGCAGAAATTATGAAAGATCATGTAATTCTAGGGGTTCTCTGATTTGAAAGTTGAGCAGTAACATTAAATCTCTTGAATCCTGTTTCCTGTGGAAATGCAGTAGTAACCTGTTTTTGCAGATTTCTCAAAGCCATTAATTTGGTAAATAGTTTTTACTGGGTTACTCTCGAGAGAAGGATTTCGAATATTTTTCTAAGAACCTAGGCTCAGTGATCTGCAAGTCCTATTTGGTCTGTTTGAAGCAATACCCATTTTGGAAGATGTTTCCTGCATATGGTGTATTATCTCTATATTACAAAACCTTAGGTGGAAAGACCTTAGAGGTCTAGGTCAGAGTAAGTCTGATTTTAATTTGAAAATGTCCATACCATATTACTTCAGCTAACAAAGATGAATCTTTTAATGCCTGACTATAAAATGAGCACCTGTGTCATTTGTGGAAGAACTTAAAATCATACAGAAGAAATCTGAATTGTTTGGTATTTAATGGCGGTACTAAATAGTTAACAGCTATATTTTAAAAATATCTTTTGAGAGCACTACGTATATGTGTAATACAAATCGCAATTATGCCATCCTGGAGGACTAAAGAGTACATTTTGATTTAATATGAATTATATTTGGTAAAGTCATTCTTTTAAGTTCTCATGCATATTTTGAGACAATGGTAAAATCCAATCCCTGCATTCCCTGACCAAATTGAAAAGTAAATAACTGTATGTTTGAGTTAATTTTTTAAAAAGATGCTGTTCCTAATGTTTAGAGACTTGTTCTTGTCGGGTTGGGGTAAAAGAAAGGTTTAAAAAGTTGGGGAGGCTGGTGCTAGGGCTCTTCCTACAGCTGTTGGTTGCTATTGATGGTGATAGGCTCTGATGACGTAAGCTGCTTGTAACTTCTTGTTACCAGACCTGAATTGTAGAACCCAGGGGTACACTTCAGTAGCAGTTTTATGAATAGCTGTTTGTTTCTGGGCCTCTCTGTGATGAGCCTTTGCTGAGGGAATGGAATGCTTAGGGCAGGAAATGGACTTGATAGGTAGAGTGGAAATATCCAAGTCCAGTGATTGTCACTTAATACTTTATTCTAGACCATTCAGATGCTTTATTGATGGCCAGCAGTAAATCTTTCATTGGGTTATATGCCTTTTGTCTAAGGCTCATGCCTCATTTTCAGAATGGAATTTTTAGTTGCTTTCATTTGGACTATTCTTTGGGTTTCGGGGGGCTAATAAAACTGTTTCGTAGAAATTTAATGGGTTGGGTATCATTATGCCAATTATTAGTATGTGATAGTATATATACTAAACTTTGAACAATTCTAAAAGCTTACATTTTCATTACTTAAAAAACCCTATTTTGTCATCTTAAAAAGGTAGTGGTATTTTTTTCTTTTTGGCGGGGTGGGCAGGAGTAGATGTAAGTAAAGCAGTTTCTGCACCAAAGAATTTGGAGATTTGAAGGTAAACAGTGTGGATTGGGTTAGAACTAAAAATCTGCTAGCCTAGGGCGCCTGGGTGACTCAGTTGGTTAAGTGGCTGCCTTCCCCTCAGTACGTGATCCCAAGGTCCTGGGATCAAGTCCCACCCACATCTGGCTCCCTGCTCAGCAGGAAGCCTGCTTTTCCCTCTGCCTTCCTCTTCTTCTGCTGTACTTTCTGTCAAATAAATAAATAAAATCTTTTAAAAAAGTAAAATAAAAACCTGCTAGCTTACTAAATTATTTTGTTTTAGCTTGATAAAAGGAAAAAGAAAGATAAATACAGGAATGAAATAGCGGGTTCTATAACCATAGGAGTCCTACTTTTAGGCTTAGTGCGACCATTAGGCACACTCTTGGCAACACAGAATATTTAGCAAATGAAAGGAACGTCTAAAGACATGGATTCTTCTCTGCGTGCTTTAACAGTGTTCAGTATTACACTTTTTAGATGACTGGAATGCTGGTTCCAGCTGAACCTTCAGGCATTGATGGATGAGGAGGTATCCTTAAATCTTTGAGGAAAGTAAGAGAAGTTCACTTTTCTTACTGTAGATATTTAACCCATACCCCCACAAAGTTTTCAAAAATTTAGTTCTAAATCTTGGTCATCTTTTATATATTGCATGATTATCGGTACTCTGTAAAATGATATGCCTAGTGGCTGAGATACCTTCTGACTATAAAATGATGTGAATTCTGTACTTAAATGTAAGTAGCAAACCAACTGTGTTAGTCCCGTATTACAGTACTCAAAATTGTATTTTATCTAGGGGGCGCCTGGGTGGAGTAGTCCCTTAAGTGTCAGACTCCTGAATTCAGCTCAGGTCGTGATCCTCAGGGCCTTGATGGAGCCCTGTGTCTGGCTCTGTGCTTATTAGCACAAGAGTCTGCTGGAGATTATCCCTCTCCCTCTGGCCCTTCCCTTGCTCCTTCTCTCATGATCTCTCTCACACATAAATAAAATCTTCATTAAAAAATAATTTAGGGGCGCCTGGGTGGCTCAGTGGGTTAAGCCGCTGCCTTCAGCTCAGGTCATGATCTCAGGGTCCTGGGATCGAGCCCCACATCGGGCTCTCTGCTTGACAGGGAGCCTGCTTCCCTCTCTCTCTCTCTGTCTCTGCCTGCCTCTCTGTCTGCTTACGATCTCTCTCTGTCAAATAAATAAATAAAATCTTAAAAAAAAAATAATAATTTATAATATTTTATCTGGAAATATTAAGTGTACTTTATTTTGAATTAAGCTTTAGGCCAATCACATTTAGTGCCTGTTTTATAATGTATACAATATAATAGGGTTTTATATAAACATAATTTACATAATTGTGCAGATACTGCTCTGTGCTTTTGTTTTTTCCTCTTTAAATAGGGTGCATCAAAATGTTTGGAAACCAGTGGTGCAGTGAAAAACTCTCAACACTATTCAAAGAATATAAAAGTTACCAAGATCATGCCTCCCAGTATACCCGTAGTTTAGGAGATTATAAGAATTTATTTGGCAGCCAACTAATTGACAGATTTTCTTAGACCTTTATTTGTAACAGCGGTGCCAAAGTCTTTTGGTAGATAGCCTTTAATAAAATTGCTTGTGTTCTTAGCTGTAGTGTAAATATCATCCATAAAATAGGTAATCATTTCTTCCAAAATAGGTAATCAGCAAATCAGAGTGCTGAATGACTTTCAGCAGCAGGTTATAAATACCAGAATTTTTAAGATTTTATTTATTTGAGAGAGAGAGCGCGAACAAGCAAGTGGGGCAGAAGGAGCAGAGAGAGGGGGACAAGTAGACTCCGCACTGAGCACGGAGTCCTTTGTGCCAATAGTCTTAATCACACATCATTATTTAAACATAGTAGGGTGTAATCCTCAAATAAAACAGCTTTTCTTGTATTTGGGTCCTCTTCCCAAGCTATACTTCACTATTCATTTCCTTCAGATTTCACCTAATCAGACTTTTTTTTCCTGTTACCTTAATGCTGATTATTGCTTTTCTCCTTACCACTTATACTGTTATCCTATTTCTAACATGAAAATTTTGTCCTCTTCACTAGCATATAAGTTTGAGGACAGTCTGTTTTGCTTACATCTGTATCTCTACCATCTAACTACAAATTAAAGATATTTTTGAATTACTGGTAAATAAATGATTTGTACCTTATCTTTATGGATCGAGCACTTTTATATAACACTCTCTGCTGCTTACAACCAATTTGAGTTACAGACAGGTAGGATCAGTGGCATTTTGTCTGTTTTACAGATGAAAATAGATTAGAATCCCTGTTTGACCTCAGTCCACTCCTTATCCTCTACCATACTGACTAGTTTTAATGTCCAAGAAGAGGTCAGTATCTTGCATCTAATGATTTTTCTTTTTTCTTTTGGTGACACAAGAGTGGAACTCCTTCCACTGATACAAAAAAGAAGTATTAAGTAATTATTTCTTTTTCCTAACAAAAACTTGTAAATGCTTCAGTTGACAAATGCTTAAGGAAATAGATGGAACTGGTAACCTCTTAGGAAATGATAATAGCATTGAAACACAGATGAGATCAGATTTAGAAGTTAAAGTATAAAGGGGCACCTGGGTGACTCAGTTGATTTTGTCTGCCTTCAAGTGTCTGCCTTGTGGCTCAGGGTCCTGGGATCAAGTCCCACATCGGGCTCCCCACTCAGCGGAGAGCCTGCTTTTCCCTCTCCCCCACCCCTGCTTGTGCTTTCTCTTGCTATCTCTCAAATAAAGGAAATATTTTTTAAAAAGTTAAAAGTATAAGGATGTTTGTACTGGCTAATAAGACTTATTCCTCTCTAATTCAATAAGTTAGTTTATACTTGGTCATGAAATCAACTTCGGGTTTATCTTTGAGGAAAGTAAGTAGGGCTTAAAGTCCCTACTGTGTGCCAGGTAGACAAAAGATTATTTAAGTCCTAAGAAGGAAATAAACTGTATGCTAGATAGTAAGAGTGGGGGCCTTTGTAGTGTGTTCAAGACAAGGAAGGCCTGAAGGAAAATAATGGGCCAGCCTTAAAAGAGTTGTCCTGTAAGATACTGCAGCTACAAAGGCCACGTAGTTAGGATTTGGCACATTAAACAAAAAGAAAGACCTGGAGGAACAGTGGGATGCTAGGCTAAGTAAAGGGCCAGATCACAAAAACTTTGTAGTAAGAGATTTGAACTTGGTTCAGGGAGTAGAAAACAACTGAAGGATTTTTAAATAGAACTCTGGTGGAGAAAGGATGGTGAAGAGTGATGAATGGAAGACAGAAAGCAAGAACTGAATGCATGTTGGTCCACATAGAATACAATGGTTGTGGCTAACAGAAATTGGCACACTGAGGCGAGGTTTTGGGAGTACAACAGATAGAACTTGCTGATGGATTAGAAATGGAGCTGGAGGTGGTTGATGGTGGTACAGAATAAAGGGTGGACAACTGCTCTAAGTTTATAGATTGAAGTTAGGTGACTTATTGCAGAGAAGAGGATTTTTAGGGCATCACGCTTGTTCACTGACTAATCCAGCACCTAATAGTGTGTGGCACACAACAGTCTCTTAATTTGTTAAATGAATGAATGAACGTGAGAAACTTCTGATATTTAAAGGTTGGTGCAGAGTGGCTCTGCAGTAGGAATACAGTCCAGGACAGTGTTGTTATGGAAGCCAGTGGCCAGAGTGTTTAAGCTACTAGTGGACTAAGTAAGTAGTGTGTGGAAGGTAAAAATAATACTATAGCTTTTTCTTGCTTCATTTTTTTTTTTTCCTGGATAATTTTTGTAGCCTGCTTATCTTTTCAGGGGAAAGTCACATTTTACAATCTTAAAATTCAGAATTATCTGAAAATGGGAAGAAAAGTCTGTAACTCATTTGGAATTAAAAGCTTAATCTGAATTAATATTTATAGTCTTTATTCTGCTGACTTGTGAATATTCACACACTTTTGCTGCAAAAATATTAATGTTTGATTATAGAACTCTGTGCAGACCCCAGGGTACCACATGAGATACAGCATAAGTAACATACTACATTTATAAAACCTGGGGAAAAAAAACTAAAATACATCTAGTCCCAAGTACTTTGGATAAGAGAGTATAGACCTTAGTAGCCATTTCATTCTGATAGCTTCTTCTGAAGAGTGAGCAATTTCTACAATTTTGTGGGTACCTAATTCTCTATGGTAACTTCTTCACATCGACAGTTAAAGTTTGTTATACTCAAGGAACCACCTTGCGCTAATTTTTCTGGATGTATTTGCTTCATTGGTAATGCATTTTTGTGTATTTTGATAAAAATCAAGATAACATTTACAATGTCCAACTTCTGTTACTAACCATTTAAGTCATGAATGGAATGTGTAGGTTCTTAAACTAAGAAAAGAAATTTTATATTTAATAAGAAGTGGATAGCTACAGAGCAACTTGTAGAGAATTTTGAGATATGGGATTAAGCCAGAAAATGTTCGGAGAGGTTTCTTTTATAACCCCCTTACATTTTGAGGGAATTCTTGATAAATGAAATAGCACTTATCTTTGGCTTGGCTCCTCTTGTGGACACGTGTCATTTAGGAAATGCACATATTTTTGATGGGCCTGGGACCCTTAATTATAGCAGAGAAACTTACTGAAAGCTATATATGTTCGTACAAAATTTGAAGACTCAGTTGGTTTAAAAAAAAAAGTGAGTTACTTTCATGAATTGAATAGGTAGTTTTCTTATACTCATTTTCTCTAAAATAACAAAGATCCTAAACCTTGATTAAAATATTTGTATTACATATTGCATCCTTTTCTTGCCAGGCTTTCCCTTTCCCTTTCTTTTTAGTGACTGAAAATGCCATTGCTTTCCTAGTATCTACTCCTTAAGATTATCTGCATTGCTCTGCGTGTGTTTGAATCTAGCTCTTCTGGCTTGCTAGTTAGGTTACTTTGGCAGTGTTACCTGACTCAGCTGCATCTCACCTTTCTTCACTATAGGAACAATAGTAATAATACCTACATCATAGGGTTAATTGAGAAGATAAATAGATAATACATGTAAAGTGCTTAGAGTAGAATCTTCTCGTGAACACTCAGTAAATGTTAACTACTGCTGTTGTCGTTCTTTTTTTTTTTTTTTTTTAAACAGGCTTGCTGAGAAATTCCAACTGTAGTCTCCCTTCTGTAGGTTATCATCTTTCATATTCTATTATTTGTGGCTTCCCACTGGATTCTCAGTATGTCTATAACTGGAATATTTGGTCTTAAAATGTAATAGATGTTAGAGACATTCCCTGTTACTAGTAAATCTTACACAGGTATTTGGAAGTTCTGTGAAGACAGTTTCTTTATTCCAACTCTTGTGATTTCTTCTGGTAGTAATGATAACAGAAGTACCTCCCTGGCATTAACTTGGGTACATGATGCCTTGTAATTCTAGTGGGCTTTCCATACCTTAAGAATTTGAAACCCGGCTGCTTTCAAGGAGCTCTGTGTAGTGCCAGCCATGTAGAGAGGAGCTTTGCAGCTGATGCTCTTACAGGTCGCTTGTGTGACCCATAGCCTCTGGACTGCGGTAAATGCAGAGGAATGTTGCACCTCCCCTTAGCCCTGCTTAGCTACTTGTCTGTATTGTCTTAGTCTTGTCATTGGCTCTTGTTTTGAGAAAGGTGGCTTTCCCTTAAAATGACTGTATGTATTGTTTTCAGAGGAGAGTTTGTGTTGGAAATGAAGAATTAAGTAAATTAGTGGTATACCAACAAACTCAAGCAGTGATGGTAATTAGAAATAGGTAGGTTATGCAATAGGAATGTTCATCCTGGACTGTTATCAAATATATGGAAGAGAGAGAAACAGTTTTTGAGTTCTCAGTTTCTATTAAACAAACAAACCAAAAAAAGGGTGTATTTAGGCAGGGTTTTGAAAGATTTTTTTTGATCCTGATGGTGGGGAGATGACATTTTTTATACCTCGCTTTTGTATCAACTTACGTTGAAATGATTAATACCAAGCCGTTAAAATCAGGTTGACCTAATAAAATCTTGGAATTACTTATTTAAAGACTAGAATTAATAACAATGGTAATTTCTAATTTAATACAGGTTGTTGCAAAAAGTGCTTGTTACATTTAAAAAACGGTATTTTTTAAGGATTTCCTTAATATTATTTTATAAAAACACAGGGTCTTTACCTAAAAGTATTGATTTCATTGAAATTCGATAGATGAAAATTTGGTTTAAAACACTAGTATATAAGATGTCATAGAAAGATAGGCTGGCAGTTATAAGTTTTAATCATGAAGAATGAGACAAATTATCCTTACTATCTTAAATGTCATGAGTGTGTCTTACCAGAGCAAAACTTTATTTAGGATCTAAGTTTCATCTGCCAAAAATTTCCTTTTATAGACTGTGATGGATGTGTAGAACGTTTTAACCCCCATAATTCCAACTATAAAGAATTTCTGGGATGCCAGTAAATGTTCAAGAAACAATATTTGCTCTAAATTTTTTAAATAGCAACAGTGAAACTCAGAATTTACTTTAGACATCTGAATTTGCTCATAAATATGAAAAAATTTATCAATTATATAACTAAAACTAAAGTAACTAAAACTTAAGTAATTCAAACTTTTGTAAGTGTCTATAGAGTATTTTATTAGGGTTAATATGAAATTTTGGTAAACTGAAAATCAGAAAAGTTTGCTTGCTTTAATTTATAAATAAACATATATTAATGGAGTTATCACTTGTAAATGTGTACACAGTATTTTTGGTTTTCTAATACAGTTTGAAGGTTGAAAAATCTAAAATCATTTAAGGTTTTAAATCTTATTTAGGTGGTAAGTGCCTTCTAATGATGGATATACGTAAATTTAGATTGTTGTGAAGATTCCCTTAACTGTATTATTCAGTTTGTCTTTTTTCTATTTTAGGTGATATTGGAAATTATTATTATGGACAGGGTCATCCCATGAAACCTCATAGAATCCGCATGACCCATAACTTGCTGCTAAATTATGGCTTATATAGAAAAATGGAAATATATGTGAGTATACCTTTTGATAAATACACAGAAGTGGGGGTTTTTTTTGTTGTTTTTTTTTTTTTTTCTCAATCTGCTTTGAAACTTGTTTCTTATTCCTTTTGAAGGGCATGTAGCACATGATGTTTTCTAGAAGAAAACAGAAAATCCTCTTTTTGTTTTACTCTTCAGAGGAAACTGAGAGTGTGGGAGCTATGACCTCTCTTGTCCCTCTTCCTCAACCATGTTTTAAAAGTTTCTCATACCCCATCTTTTCACATTCTAGAGAACCAGCTCAGTTTAGCATACTAAATATCTTTGTTAAAGTAGTGGTTGATCTGGCCGTGCTGCTCAAGAGTTGACCTGGGTAGTGATTACGAGAAAGAACTATGTAGAAAATTCTACAAATACTTATTGGCATATGGAACAATGTGTTAGTGATCATGCACAGTACAGCTAACATTTAGGATACAACCGCCTTAAATGTTTTTGCACTGATGGAATTATATATTAACTTTGGGATGGATAATGGATATTGGTGGGGAGACCTTAACTTCCCTGTTTTGTTTTTTTGTTTGTTTTTTTTAAACACAACAAGAGAAAAGACTTGAAGCAGTTAGCAGTACTGGGTGTCCATGAGTTACTTTCTTTCAAATATAAACATTTACAGAAGAGGAGTTGGATAAATCTTCCTGGAAATCTGGGAGAAGTATGTCATAAATGAAATTGAGCTCTTGGGAACAAGAATAATTAGGATAGACAAAGGAAAGAAAGAGTGATTGTGGACAAAGACTTATAATTGAGAATGAATTTCATTCTCACTGGATATAGAACAAGTTTATGATGGGAAAAGTGAAAGTAGTTTCTGAACACAGATTCAACTTTGTAAGTGTTGACCAATTTCTACTAAAATAGTAGGAGTAATATATAGTTGGAGTCAGACCTGTGTAATGCTTTTAAAGGAGTAGGAATTAGCTTGGAATTGGTTACTGTTTTCTAAAACACATGTATAAATTTGGATTAGCTTTGGAATTTATTTTGTTCTGTCAGACCTAGTTCTTTTGAGAGGACTGTTAGGGGAAATCGTATACTTTGTGTTGGTAACTCTGATATAACCAGTTGTAGTTCCACAATTCTGACCTATGTTTTTCTTCACAGAGGCCCCATAAAGCCACTGCTGAAGAAATGACAAAATACCACAGTGATGAGTACATCAAATTTCTACGTTCAATAAGACCAGATAACATGTCTGAGTATAGTAAGCAGATGCAGAGATGTACGTTTCTGTGTTAAAAGTATATATTAGTATTTATAAGTATAAATGAGTATTTTTATAAGCATATAATTAGAGTTATCCAAATCTAGGAATTCTGCCTGATCTAGAATACTTTTTTAAATTAGTTGTTGGTTTGAAAAGTCAGTGTAAAAATATTAAAGCTACTTTATCTTTTAAAAAAAGTTTTTTAAAGATTTTATTTATTTATTTGACAGATAAGAGAGAGTACAGGCAAAGGGAGCAGCAGGCATTTCCTGTTGGCAGGAAGCCTTGATGCAGGGCTCGATCCCAGGACCCTGAGATCATGACCTGAGCTGAAGGTAGACGCTTAACCAACTGAGCTACCTAGGTGCGCCCCTCAGAGCTATTTTAAATAACGAAAAAAGGAGGGGGTGCTTGCGCTGCTCAGTTGGTTAAGCGTCTGACTCTTGATTTCACCTCAGGTCATGATCCTCAGGGTCTTGAGATAGAGCCCTGCATCAGTCTCTGCACTCAGCACAGAGTCAACCTGAGATTTTCTCTTTCCCTCAAATAAATAAAGAAATAAAATCTTTAAAAAACAAAATCTACCTGAAGCCTATTTGTCTGCCAAACTGCCAAAAAGCTATTTGGATGTTCCTCTATTCTTTGTTCTTGTCCCTTTCCAACTTTGGGATAATGGATATTGGTGGGGAGACCTTACTCACCTGCTTTAAAAAAAAAAAAATAATAATAATTATACTTCGATTGGCCTTAGCCTGGGGTATATATATCTCATCTTCTATTTGTGTGCTTTAGTTAATGTGGATTGTAATATATAATCTGTTCCTTCCCTTTGTGAGTGAAGCTTTTGATTTTCTTCTATATAGTATTCTCTTTTATATAGATAAAAAGTATTTTATTATTAGCAGTGGTTGGCTTGAAAGTGGAATGCAAAGCGTCATCCTAAAATGTTTGGAACAGAGTTTTTGAAAGCTTGATACTAAAGTTCATTCTCATCAGTGTTTCTGTTCTGTAGAGTAAACTTCTATAGTCTTCAGTGATGATTTTTTTAAAAAGAACAATTTTAATAATACTAAAGTGTAGTTGCTAGACATTGTTAACATTTGTAGAACTTCATATGCATTTCTACTATAGATTATTTCATTTACTCAGTAAAATGCTATAATGTAAATAGAACATATCATTTGTCCCTGTTTTTTTGATGGCGAATCAGGCTTAAATTAAAAGTTTGGGTAGATTGGGCAAATGAATTAACAGGATTGATTTACTACATAATTATATTAAGATTATGATTATATCTGAGCAGTAAGAAACTCAAATGCATTTGTTATAGTGCTAATAAATTATGAGTATAAAAAGCTATGTAAAATAATTACCCTTATTTTTTAAAAGGTTATAATTGGGGGTGGGAAGAGGCTGAGAATGGGTCATGTACATAATAAGTCCCTTTGATCCTGTCAGTACTAAGGAACTAAATATATTGTGATGTGTCATGGATCTGTATGTGTTGTTTCATTGTGCTTTATATACCCCTTCCTTCTATGTCTTGGCTGTTACGAACCTAGTTAATTCTTACCATCCTTTAAGATTGGGTAGGCAATCAGCTGCTTTATTTTTTTAGTACTCATTAAAATACATTTCAAAGTTAATGGATGTTCTGTGCATTTAGGGATTTTTGAGAAAGTAAACCATAAAGGGATTAAACTTGCTTAAATTTTTTAGAATCCTGATTAATTTATTGTATATTTAAGGAGAAATGCCTAAAATTTAAGTGTATGTTTTAATTAAATAAATCAAATGCCTTTTATATTTTGATGGCTATTAATTTTTTTAGTAATAGAGCAAAGATGTTTTACAAATAATCCTGGTAAGATTTGGTGGTGGTGTTTCATACGTAACACTTTAATTACCTTGGGTAAAATGATAAATTATTTTTAAATATCAACGTTTAGATTTCTTCTGTGATGTGTGTTCTATCAAATATAAAAAGTGTTCGTTAGAAGTAGTTTTTGGAAGGAAACCTTTAATTCACAGAGTGGCTTCTAACTGAAACCTGTCTTTCACAGTTAATGTTGGAGAGGATTGTCCAGTATTTGATGGACTCTTTGAGTTTTGTCAGCTTTCAACTGGTGGTTCAGTTGGTAAGTGTCCTGATTCAGTTCTAAAAGTTGATTTAAATTTGGTATGTAACTTTTGGGTTATTTGTTTAAAGCAGAGGTTTCTGGTGGTAGTGGATTTTGAAAACAAAAAGTAGCCTGTATGTTTATAGTAGTACAGTTGTCTTTAAAAATCCACGTTTGGGGCACGTGACTGGCTCAGCTGGTAGAGAATGTGACTTGATCTGGGAGTTGTGAGGTCAAGCCTCACGCTGGGCGTAGAGCTCACTTTTAAAAAAATAATAAATAAAAGTAGTTACCTTCTTTCTTTAAAAATAAATAAACCCCATGTTTTATGATCATAATGACTTGAACTTTTTGTTTCTTGTTTCTGTTGTATTTTCACGTAGAGATTTCTCTCCTCTATATATCTTCTAGCTACCAGTTTCTGTATATACTCTCTCATTTAAATCAGAACACAGCTATAGGAATACATTTAAGAAAAAACTTGTCGGTGTCCCAGATGATGAGCCTTATCTTTCTGTAATTTTAAACTCTTTTACTTGTACATGGCATTCTCTTTCCTATAGGGCTTTTGTCTAGTTGTATTAACTTCTTACTTTAAACTTCCGAGTCTACCCTGTCTTGCCTTTCAGCCGGGGCCGTGAAGTTAAATCGACAACAAACTGATATGGCCGTTAACTGGGCTGGAGGGTTACACCATGCTAAGAAGTCAGAAGCATCGGGATTCTGTTACGTTAATGATATTGTACTTGCCATCCTTGAATTACTAAAGTAAGTTAATTTATGTTGATATTTTTCTTATGAAAAAGTTTTAATTAAAACCATAGAAATCTGTAACTTCTCAAAAATATCAAGGCAACATTGTAGGTTAAAAATAGTTCAGAGATGAGCCTTCTTCATTACAAACCATTGTAGAAATACAGGACATTTCCCCATTCCTTGGATTAATAATGAGAAATGCATATACATGTTTAAAACTCCCATTAAATATCCTTTTAAAAAAGACCAAAAATAGTTCGGAGATTTAGATTTTGAGTTACAGTTTCAACTAATGAAAGATGACAGGACCCTGAAAGTTTATGTTCTAACATTTTATAAGTTTTAACTTTTGAAGGCAAAAATTTGAAACCTTGTGTTAAAGGAGATTTGTTCATGGAATGAGTCTAGCTAATTGCCTAGTTTCCACATGGAATGAGGCTTTGTTCTCTACTAATGGATATAATTACCTCTAAATAACTAAAGGAATTAGAGGTAAAGTTATCCTTGACTGCAGTTTGAGATATCCATAGAGGGACTTAAAAATTTGGAAATTTACAGGGTTTTTTTTTTTTGTTTGTTTTTCTTTTTTTTTTTTAACCATGTTCAGTTGTAACATGTCTTAGCAGATGCCACTTCAGATTATAGTGAATTAAGTTTTTTCTCAGTTTCAAAATGTTCTTGCCTGTAGTAATTCCATGCACACTGTTTATAGAGTCTGCTTTTTCAGTCATTTAAAATTTGGTATTGACTCCTCAGATAAAGAACTAAAATGTTTCATTTAACTCATTCACAGCCAAGGAAAACCACTTGAAATTATTTGCCTTGGTTTTTAATTCCCTGTTGATTTTGGTTCTTGTGTCTTCATCTCTGGGCAGTGATTTTGCTTACATGCTTATAGCCTTAAACAGGTTTTAATTTAATTTGTATAGACAGATTTCTTTAACTGGTATGAACAGTCATAATTTAATTGACTGTTGATAAGCCACTTATAAACAAACCACTTGGTTGACTAACAGCTTTTTTTATTATTTTTGAGAAGAAAGACTATTATAATGAGATATTCTTGTTTTTTCCCCATAACTTTGCTGAATGGTGCTTTCCTGTGAGTTGAGAATATTCGAATGAGTGCTTAGTTTGATAATGTCAGATTATATTATTTTCTTGTAACGTAGTGGTGGTATCATTATATAAACACACAAAGCTCTGCCATTTAATTTAGTAACAAAATAATCCTCAGTTCACCATGCCATGAAAGTATGACATTCAAAGTTCATTTCATTTTCTCTGTTTTGACATGGGTATGTACTGGTAAAAAAAAAAAATGTCACAGTGTAGTGATATACATGATTCCTAAAATACATTTGAGCTATAATTGTATCACAATTTGTAGTGCTCCAGGCAGCACTAGGAAATGAGGAGAGTACCAGATGTGGTTTCTGTCACAACTACTCTACTTTGCAGTTGAAAGCACAAAAGAAGCCATAGATAATTTGTAAACAAATAAACATGGCCATGTTTCAGTAACACTTTATTTATGGACACTGAAATTTGCCATTCCCTTGTCACATATGAAATATTCTTGTTTTAATTTTATTTTTCAGTGGTTTAAAAGTATAAAAACTATTCTTAGCTCAAGGCTTTACAAAAAGACTTTGTTGGTCAGATTTGGGCTATAAAATAGATCACCAGCTATTGTTTTATAACACTGAAAATTTACTAGAGAGATGTTTTAAAGTAATAATCCTCTAAGTACAGTATAATCTTTAGTTGTTAATATATAGAAACATGTAGTATGTTTTTAAAACTTGGAGAATTGGGAAGATTTCCCAGGGAGAGTAAATACATTTTCTTACCTAGAGTGGGGCTAAAAGAAGGACTTAAAGATCTAAGGGCCAAACTTGTAACTTTAGATATTTGAATGATCTCTTAGGCTGGAAATAAAGTAAGAAAGGGGATAAACGTTCTGAAGTGCAAGAGCTCAAAAATGGGTTTTCTGAACCCATGGTGGTTCTTTCATCTTTTAAAACCTTTTAGAAACTTAAATGATGGCATTGTTTTCAGGTATCATCAGAGAGTCTTATATATTGATATTGATATCCATCATGGTGATGGTGTTGAAGAAGCTTTTTATACGACAGATCGTGTAATGACTGTATCATTCCATAAATATGGGGAATACTTTCCCGGAACAGGAGACTTAAGGGTAAGACTGAATTTCTGTCTGAATAAGTATTGTGATAAAAAAATTAGGAGAATGGAGGAAGCTAATAATCATATCTAAACTAATACTGTTCTTCAGTCATTCATTTGAAACTCGTATGCAGAATTGAGTCATTTTATATACTATGTAACATTTGCCAGAATTCACTTTTGTTGACTATAAGCAAAAATTTAGTGAGAACTGAGAGAACTTTCTCTTGCTCAGCCATAAATAATTTCTTTGGTTGAGTAATTATTTTTGAACATCCCTGAAGCACGAAGAAGTTTTCTAGATGTTTATTTGCATCTTTAAAACCTACTTGAAAGTAGCCAGCATTGCTGTTGACTGTAAAAATTGGGGGAAGAAAATAACTCTTTTTTTAGGTTCTTGCCCTCCTTCTATGATGAGTCTTGATTTAATAGGCCTAATTTTCATCTCTTTTTCCTTAGGCTTCTGAAATTTGTAGTCTATATCATTTGGAGAGAGAAAGAATACCGTAACTTATCCTGCCTGCCTGTTACATTAAGTGCATTTATTGCTTTTATACTTCTGTTATCTTCTTCAATTTAGTGCTTTTTTTAATCTTACGAATGTGAAAACCACTGGTCAAATCTTGATTGTACAAAGTTCCTGAAGCTTTTTGCTTTGCTGGTTTTTCTTAGACCAAACTACATGCATGTTGAAATTTAGTCATAAATTTAAATAGTCATTTTAAATTCAGCCTGGATTATATGGGGAATTTCTCTTATCATGGCATTCAGTATTAAGGTTATTTTTCGTATCTGTGGTATGTAGTTAGAGCTGTATGACAACCAAATGAAAAGTGGCCTTATTATATGTGAGTTTTTTTACTTGACCATAAGATGGTGCTCTTTCAGTAAGAGTTGTGATGGTAAAATCTTTTTGTACTTACAAATGGATGGAAGGTTAGTTGTTTATTTGAGTTTAAATTATGTGGCTTTTAAAATTGCAAATATATATTTTCAGTTCCATGCCTCTTAGCTCCTTCAGTGCCTTTCCCTCTTGGTCTTAACTTTACATACAGTGATTCTTAGTGTATGACTTTTAAACTAGCAGTTTCACTGGGAACATCCTGTCAGGCCTCTGGAACTGATTCTGCACTCTAACGTTTGAGAACCACTACTCTAAACCAGTAGAATTCCTTGGTCTACAGCCATTGTACTCAGTGGAAATTCAGCGAAGACTCTTCCTAGTTTTAAGCTTAAAGAAGGTCTCTTTTCACTATAATCCTAATTAATGTCAGAATTAGTAAAACGTGGCCTCTGTTTTCATTTCTGACAATATTCTTAGGATTGATTGAAGTTGTTAGAAAGTATTGGAGAATAGGTGTTTTTTTAAAGATTTCAGAATGACTTTGAATTTCTCTTTTACTCACTAAAGATTTTACACTTATTGTGTGAAATGTCATCATAATAATTTCCCTTTGGTTATTATAAAGGAGTCCCCAAAATTTTGTAAGGAAATCAACATCAGTCATTATGCATGGAGTTATATTTGGAATTTCATAAAACTTTTGTATATCTTTGATGTTAATTTAATAAACATTCCTTTTTTTTTTTTTTAAAGATTTTACTTATTTATTTGACAGAGATCACAAGTAGGCAGTGAGGCAGGCAGAGAGAGAGAGGGGAGGAAGCAGGTTCCCCTCAGAGCAGAGAGCCTGATGCGGGGCTTGATCCCAGGACCCTGGGATCACGACCTGAGCCAAAGGCAGAGGCTTAACCCACTGAGCCACCCAGGAGCCCCTAAGCATTCCCTTTTCTGCCTGCCAGTTCATTCGAAATTAGAAAAGAAAGCTACTTCAAGTTTAGGTCATTGTTAAAACTGCTTGGCTTTATTAGAGCAAGAGTCTAAGGGAAAAAAGGGTATGATAAAAGTAGCAGTTAAGAGTAAGAACTAGAAGGGATAAATCTGGGTGCAACAAGGGCAGCAGCTGAGGGGTCAGCTTTTGGCTGGAGTTGAGAGGTGCTGATCAGCTTTCCGTATTCTGAAATCTTAATGTCAAAGTATATTCCACATTTAGTTTTTAGAGCAGGATTTTAGGGATTCACCATGCTTTAGTTTACCCACATCTGAATGGTTTGTATTTAGGTATATATAAACATTTAGATTTCTTCAGGAAAAAATGTTGGGGAAGATAAATTAATTCCACTTTTTCTTCATTGGAAGTTGGATCATGGAAACTCTAATATTGAAGGATAAACTGTGCTTTTTTAAAATGAATCAAACTCAGATTGTTATATGAGAGTTAAAGGGAGACTTGTATAAAAGCAGTAGTCGTTCTAAAGATTCCGTGTATACTGAGACATAATTTAAAACACATTAAGAATCGGTTACCACCAGTTCTTTGGTGTTGCAGTTAAAGAACTATTTTGTCGCAATTTTTGTGCTATACCATTTCTTCTAGGAATTATGTGTGTGTGCTCTCAGGTACATTTACACACATCCATCTACACATGCATAATAAATAATACAAATGGTATATGTAGTGTGTGGGTATATATATATTTTTTAAGTGTATATCTTGCTGAACCCAGCTCTCAGTTTCTTTTGCTGCTTTGAGAAGTGTTAATGCCTAGAGTGGTTTTAATTCAACAAGTAGAAACAAAATTTATTTCAAGCCCAATTAAAGAGCAGGTTTTGGTGCTTTAATCTGCAGTTGTCAAAACTTGAGGGAAGTTGGAGCTTTTCTTTCATCATAAATAAACTTAGACCAGAGCGTGAGCCACAAGAAGGATTCTGCATTATAGAGACAATTATCCTGCATGATTCTTTTGCTCAGAGTATTTATTTTCTGCAGTTTTACTCGTAACGTTGTCTTACATATTCTGTTCATGATTTATTTCTTGGTCTAATGTGTAATATTGCCTTTAATTGTTAAATTTCTTTCTCCCCAAAATAGCTATTACAGATTGATTGGAATTGGTTCTCTTTAGCTTAATAAAACAATCCATGAATAATGGAATTTACACTTGCTCCTGTATTTAAATTAAAAGATGAATTCAGAATTGGATATTGTTGCCTAGTTTTTTAATCTTTTAAAAAACTTCCTTAATAAGCATGTCAGGCATTTTTACTATGAAACAGTTTCTAAGAGCTGTTTAATTGTGTATTTTAGGATATTGGTGCAGGAAAAGGCAAATACTACGCTGTCAATTTTCCAATGAGAGACGGTATAGATGATGAGTCCTATGGGCAGATATTTAAGCCTGTAAGTATTTTTATTTTCAAACTCAAAATGGAGTTTTGTGAAATAATTTTGCAGGTATTAACATCTGTTGTCTTGTACGTAGATTATCTCAAAGGTGATGGAGATGTATCAGCCCAGTGCTGTGGTGCTGCAGTGCGGCGCGGACTCGCTGTCCGGTGATAGGCTTGGTTGCTTCAATCTCACAGTCAAAGGTACGTGTTTAATGGTGATAGTCCCAGGAACGGGTGTCTTTTTTGTTTTCCTCTCTGAGAACTTCCCATTAAAGTTAATCATTATAATTTTTTGCCTCTACTATATTAACACAGAATCACACGTTTTGTATTTTTCATTGGCTTTTGCCAGATGTATATATGCATTTGGAATGCCGTTTCAGCTCATTTGGGTTTTTGGTGGTGGTGGCAGACTCGCACGGGAAGAGTGTCCCAAAGCCCCTTGCAGGCCCAGCCAAGGCAGCCGTTTTCATTGTTTTTTGTTGCTCCTTTGGGTGTTTCTCTTTCTCCAAATAACATGCAAACTAACTTTGTTTTATTTTTGTTTTTATTTTATTTTTAATCTCTGCTCCCAGCGTATAGGGCTCAAACTCAAAACCCTGAGATCAAGAGTTGCGTGTTTCTCAGGGCGTCTGTCTGGCTCAGGAGGTTGAGCGTGTGACTTTCGATTTCAGCTCAGGTCGTGATCTCAGTCCTGGGACGGAGCCCTGCGCTGGGCTCTGTACTCAGCACGGACTCTGCTTGAGATTCTCCTCCTCCCCCAGTTCGTGTTCTCTCTCAAATAAATAAATAAAATCTTCAAAAAAAAAAAAAAAAAAAGTTGGCATGCTCCTTCAACTGAGCCAGCCAGGTGTCCCAAACTTTGTTACTTTCAATTTTCGCTTTGTATATTCAGTTCCTGTCATGGAAGAAGAGGGATTTAGCTCTTTTTCACCACTTTGTCCCCAGTACTTGAGTACATCCTTCCGGTATCTTCATTTTTATAGCTTAAATCTGGTAATTATACTAGAATTTTGGTGTGGCATTCAGTGTTTACAGCGTCATCAACATTAAAGCACTTTTCAGCTTATCAGATCTCTTATTGTATAACTTGTTTTTCTTGCCTCATTTTTATTAATTTTTTTTAAATTTTTTATAAACATATTTTTCTTGCCTCATTTCTAGTTTTCTCTTTACTCATTATTAAATCACCAGTATCCAGATAGCTTCAAATGTTCAGTTGCATCAAGTATTCCATCATTTTTACCTTTTTGAAGAATAACCTTCTGCGCTGTTACTGTTTGGACGAGTATCTCCTATAGACTTGGTGGGAAAAGCGCTCTTCGTTTCTCTTTTATATGCCTCCCCTCCCCCATGGCTCTTTCCTCTGTCTTCCTCTAAATTTTTGTCTTATTTTGTTAGAGCGCATTCTCAGGTAGCTTTCTGAGAAAAGATGTGTGGGGGATTGGGAGGATAGCACCAAAACTTAAATTTGATCCATTGTTGAAATTAACATGCAACGTAAGTCCAGATCAAAGTGAAAGTTCACCGTCATGGAATGAACTTCTAGGGTGTAAGAATAAATCCTAAATTTTATTTAATAAGTTCTTAAAATTTATTATATGGGGATAGTAATGATGAATATTGTACATGATTTTGTAGTTGTTTTCCTTCTGAATCTTCAGTTGACAAATGGATGTTCTTGCATTGAATTGCCTCTTAAGATGTGAAGAATTCTCAAACAGCTTTTTAAAAATGACTTGGCTTAAGTGGAATTAAATACCTAAATCTAGATATTAAAGTCTTTTATTTAATGTTATGATTGCTTCTATACCAGTTAGCTTTAGAATTAATGGTACAATCTGTTCTACTTTTATTAGGTTGATCCATACAAACTTGATTGCCCCTTTTCTTGGTAGGTCAATAGTGGTCAAATAGCAGTTTCATATTGTTGAACTTAATGTGTTGATAACCATCTGTTCGCTTCAAAATGGATATGATCTTCCTGATGTACAAAAGGGATATTAACAGTCCGTTTTCATGTCCTAGCACTTCGAAAATGCTTTGTTTTCATGCTTAAAAGTTTTAACATTCATAATCGTAAACTGTAGTATTTTACTTTTATAGTAATTTACATTTCTGCTGTTAGAATTTCAGTTATATAAAGCGCTAAGGATATTTTCAATCCCAGTTCTTAAACTTGATTCTAAGTTTTCTCCATTGCCAGCTTCAATTTAGATTTCTCAGGTCTTTTAAAGTCCGTTAACCTCTTGTCCATCTCTTTTCTACCTTACTTTATGTTGTTACTGTGTGTTCTCTGCCATTCTTCATTTTTTATAGGTTTTGGTTTTATCCCTTAAAAAATACTATGAGTCATTTTTATCAGGTTTTAAGGAGAAGGAAAAGTCTTTTTGTTTAGCCAGCTAGCTGTCTTTACTCAGAAGTCTATGAGTTAACTTTTTATTTTGTCTTTAAAAATACTAAAGTGTGGGGCACCTGGGTGGCTCAGTCGTTAAGCATCTGCCTTTGGCTCAGGTCATGATCCCAGGGCCCTGGAATTGAGCCCCACATCGGGCTCTCCGCTTGGCAGGAAGCCTGCTTCTCCCTCTCCAACTCCCCCTGCTTGAGTCTCTCTTCCTGTCAAATAAATAAATTTTTTAAAAAATCTTAAAAAAAAAAATAAAAATACTAAAGTGGTTTTTTTAATCTATTATAAGAAGCTCATGTTTTTCTAGTAGCAGTAATAGAAATTGGGTTATGAATTTTATATTGCAACCGTTGAATACTCAATGGAAATGCTCACAAATATACAATTACATGAAAAAAATCATTAAATCTTACTAAGAAGGAATTGCCATGAAATACTTGAAAAACTATCTTTGGATAATGGAGTTTTAAACAGTTTCTTCTTTGTACTTTTTTTAATTTTTTCCAAATATTCTTCAGTAAGCATGGATTTCTTCTATAATTGAAGGGTGTTTTTCTTTAAAGATTGGTTTGTATGCCTGAATGATAGATACATCATTAATACTGGTGACTAACTTAAAACTAATTATTAAACAATTACATTTATCCAAAGAAAATATTTTGTTTTTATATTAGGTTTACTTTCCATTTAAATTTCTACACATAGATATTTGTTGAAGTATTTTTTAATAGCAATAGAGAGTAATTTTATAATCTTAAATAAGTTAAGAAAATTATTCATAGTACTGCTACCTGAAGATAACTTACAGTTAAACTTTGTTGTATAGCTTTTCATGATTTGTCTGCATTATGTTTATATGGAAAAGTGGTAAAATTTAGATTGTTCATGGGGTTTTTTTTTCTTTTTAAGATTTTATTTATTTATTTGACAGAGAGAGATCACAGGCAGAGAGGCAGGCAGAGAGAGCGGAAGGGAAGCAGGCTCCCCGCTGAGCAGAGAGCCTGATGATGCGGGACCCGATCCGAGGACCCTGAGACCATGACCCAAGCCGAAGGCAGAGGTTTAACCCACTGAGCCACCCAGGCACCCCGTTCATGGTTCTTTAAAGATTTTATTTATTTACTTGGCTGGGAGAGGGAGAACCAGGCTTCCCGCTGAACAGGGAGCTGATGCGGGGCTCGATCCCAGGACCCCGGGGTCATGACCCCGAGCTGAAGGCAGAGGCTTAACAATTCAGCCACCCAGGCGCCCTATGATTGTTCATGTTTCATTGTAACCTTTTCTTCCCCATGTAATGTCACATCAGTGTAGACTCTTCATACCACATAATGTCTTCCTATGTTAATAAAAATAGGTGTTCTATTCATATTTCTTACGTTAATTTAGTTCTATAATTCACTTTTCTGTTAGGGACACTTGTTAAAATAGCCACTTATAGCTTACTGTGTTCTATATATCACTGTGTGAAAGATATTTAAATAAAAATTTTGGACTAGAAATTTCTTGAAATTTTTACATACTCTTTAAATACTTAGAAAAGCCATTTTGGTTGAGTAAAACTTGTTGTTTGCATCCATTATCTTTTTAAAACTTACTTGTCAAACTGTCAGAATATTTAGATTTGTTGTTACCCAAATCTTTTTTTGGTCTCAGGTCATGCTAAATGTGTAGAAGTTGTGAAAACTTTTAATTTACCATTACTGATGCTTGGGGGAGGTGGATACACAATTCGTAATGTTGCTCGGTGTTGGACTTACGAGACTGCAGTTGCCCTCGATTGTGAGATTCCCAATGGTAAGTAGTCATATTGTGATGTCTGTATGGTACAAAACTGTCAGTGTATATAAATGGACAGATGAATGATTAGAGTCGATTCCAAACCATGTAAGTAGGAGAGCGGTCACTCTTAAAAGTTTTCTTAGGGACTGTTTCACAGCTTGAATCTGGATTTTGTGCATGGGTTTGTGTGAAATTGAGCTTTTAATATGTTGCTTTATTTCATTGTTTTTAATAGAATTGCCATATAATGATTACTTTGAGTATTTTGGCCCGGACTTCAAACTGCATATTAGTCCTTCAAACATGACAAACCAGAACACTCCAGAATATATGGAAAAGATAAAGTAAGAGATCATTGAATTGATGTGATGAACTTTTTATTTTTATTTTCATTTTTATATATCAGATACTTCCTTTGTCTTTTTCAAAAGCATTTGAAACCTTAAGATCACTGGTTATTTTTTTCTGAGATAATGAAAATGTATGTGCTTCATAGCTCAAAAATACTTCCATTTTCTTTTAAAATGGATTTTTAAATTTCTAAGGGCACTGTAAATTGTATACTTTCTTGCCTTACTTGAAAGTGAAATTTTCCTTTTCAAAACATTTTGATAAACTTTAACTCCAAGAGCAAAGTGTTTAGAGGGCTATTGTACACAGACCCAAGTTTGTGTCCTCTCTCTGAGACACAACTAGGTCTGTGACATTTGGCATGTTACTTTGCCTTTAGGCTTACATTTTCTCATCATTGAAATGAGGGATGAAATAGTACCTATGTTGAAAATTTTGAGTATTAGGTGAGTTAATGATAGTCTGTGAAGTATCTTGCTTTTATGTTATTATTTTAACTCAATGGTTAAGTCAGATAAATGATGAAATTTTTGCTTAATGTTTCCTCTTACATTTAAGAGAAACTTGAAAAATGAATTTTGTCTAACAAATACGCATATGTAATTTAGACAGCGTTTATTTGAAAATTTACGCATGTTACCTCATGCACCTGGCGTCCAGATGCAAGCTATTCCAGAAGATGCTGTTCATGAAGACAGTGGAGATGAAGATGGAGAAGACCCAGACAAGAGAATTTCCAGTAAGATGATGCCTTGATGTGTACTGTTACATTCTTCTGATTTGTGAAAAATAGCACTACAAATTAAAGGTTTTGGTGGTCCAAGAATTTCACTATGGGTCACGTTCCATGAGGACACTATTATTGTTGTCCTTTTTTCCCATTTTTAATCTTACATAGATTTGACTTTGTTTTGTTTTGTTTTGTTGTTAAGAGAGAGAGCACAAGCAGGGGGAGCTGTAGGCAGAGGGAGAGGGAGAAGCAGGCTCCTCACAGAGCAGGGAGCCTAATGCGGGGTTCAATCCCAGGATCCTGGGATCATGACCTGATCCAGAGACAGACACTTAACCGACTGAGCCACCCAGGCACCCCTCTTGTATCTTAAAGCCTCATTTGAGTGTCAGTGTTTTTAGTTCCTGTGACTCTATATATACAATCAAGGCGCACCTAGGTTCCTCAGTCGGTTAAGCGTCTGACTCTTGATAATGGCTCAGGTCATGATTTCAGGGTCATGAGATCGAGCCCCACATTGGACCCTGCACTGGTATTTGGGAATGAATTGGAAAATTATGCCATTTATCCAAATGAGAATGAGTTCAGTAACATTAAGCACCTTCTGTTTGATTCTCTTGTCTCTCATTCCACTAATATTGGTTGCTAGAGTTGTAGCATAATATGGTATATGTTGTGGTGTAGACCTTCTAACATACTTGGTATTAATGATATTTTTAATGTTACTGTCTACATCTCCTTTTAGCTCTGAAATAAATGGTCACTCTTTAGATAAAGATAGTATCCCCCCCTCCTATTAGTAAAACATAGTTTTTCCCTCCAAATTTTTTTTGGTGAGCTCCCCAAGTGTTTTTCATGTTTCTTTGAATTACTTCTTCCTAGATCAAATCTAAATTTTCATTACTGAACAAACCATGCATTTAGTTCTAATCTTAGGATTATTAAGCATCTGTTACCCTGTACTTTGAGATGTGGAAATTGGTTGGCACATTTGTATATGACTGTGTTACAACAATTATAAAACCTGTGACTGACTGCCTTGTCAACTTTCATTAACATTTTTATATAATCAGTTAGAGCATCAGACAAACGAATAGCTTGTGATGAAGAATTCTCAGATTCTGAGGATGAAGGAGAAGGAGGACGTAGAAATGTGGCTGATCATAAGAAAGGAGCAAAGAAAGCTAGAATTGAAGAAGACAAGAAAGAAACAGAGGACAAAAAAGCAGGTCAGATTTATTTTTCGGTAAAAGTACTTTAATTGTAAGTTTTTAAAATGAGCTTCACTGCAATTTTTTAATGAAATCCTGAAGTCAATTGTGCAAGTATTAAAGGGTGATTATGACTTTTTTCCATGTGGTAAAGGGGCTTACCTTACCTGCTCTGTTAATGTTACTAGTCACATTTGCTCTTACAGTATAGGAAACCTTACTGCCTCTCGCTGACACAGGCGTAGAGCAGCAGACGTCACACTGTGGTACAGACCGGGTAAAGACAAAGTGGTGACCCATGCATTGGTCGTCCCTGAGCAGAGCTCAGATTCTAAGATCGTTTTTAACCACCTAACATTTATTTGATAGGAATAAGACACACAAAAAGAGTTATCCTTAGACCAGTTTCAACATTGTGAAAAAAACTGAGAGAGAGTACACTTTGCTCAGAAATTTGATGAAAATATGATGAAAACATAAAAACTCTGAGGAAAGATAGGAGGGTGGAAGCTGGGTTGGAGGGGGAGGTAGAATACTTTGATGCCATAACTTAAAAATGCCGGTAGCTTATCTTTTGACGAAATGATGCCTTAGGCAGTAAATTTACTACCAGAATCTCTTATCTCTTATCTCAGTTCCCAGAGTACTTATACATACCTTGGTCATTTTATTTAACATATAATGCCTCATAATAGGATTTTATGTACTTCCATGCTAGGTTGAGCTGCTCGTGACTAGGGAACACAGTAACTTAAATATGTTCTTAACATTGGTGCGTTCCTTGACGGAATGGATACCAGATACCTGATACCTGTATACAAGTAATGGTGATGAACTTGAGTTTTAGTTGACTGTTAATTTTGACCCTATTGCATGTGGAAAACTGATAGACATACTTGGCCAGCATCCTTTTCCTTATATCTGTCAACACTGAAGTTACATGAGTAAGCTGCCTGTCATGTTCTTTCTTTTTTCTTTTCTTTTTTTTTTTAACTAGAGAGGTTAGATTCCCCAGCACATCTGACACTTGCGGTTCGATTCTTTTACTCGTGATTCACTCCTCTGTAGGCTACCTACCATTCTCTAACTTTCAAAACTAACTTTGAATGTATCACAATGATGGCTCCAGTCTGCTCTTACGTACCGACTGACATCCAGAAATTCCACTTACGTTTGAGGTAAGGAGGGCTTAGCTTTAGCTGTATTGTTTTTCTAGCATTTTTCATTCTTTCACCATCAGTACATACTATTGTCACTTTTGAAGTTTCTTCTCATTTTAAAAGTCTTTAGCTTTTTTGTGCTTTTTCCCCTCAAATGGGAAAGCACCTTCACTAGGGTGCTTCTTGTCTTCATTGTGCTTCTAGCTAAAAATGAGAGTATCTTTTGATTTGGCTTAATGACCTTGTAGTGGATTAATCTCTTAGTGTTTGGTTCCTCAAAACTTTTACTGCTGATAATGATAATTTTTAAAAATTTGCTTTATGGTGGGGCGCTTCTTATAAGGTCTTCCATTTGTTTTAGATTGCCTTGTCTTACATATAAAGAAATATTACTACAGAAAACTTTTAAAATCTGTAAATCAAAACCTAAAGTTGGGGCTATTTCTTTTTTCTTCCTCCACTTCCTAGTTCCATTTTGGTACTTTGAATTACTAAGTTTACATATCTCAAGTTAAGGCAGTAGTCCAAAAAAAGTCATGGTATCCTTATTGTCACACACGTTTGTATTGTTAGAGCAGTCCCCTGAAATGTCTGTGTAGCATGCTTACTAACAATGTTTTATAATCAGGTATCTTTATTGTCAGGTCATTGCTTCAGAACTTTGGTTCATATCCTGCTTTGAAGAAATTCAGCACATTTGGGCTAATTTGTTTTAGTAGTCTTGAGTTTGTAGTGTTAATATTACTCTTTTATTGATTTTGATTAGAATTGTAAAGTTTCAGGACATACAGTGAGGGTTAAAAGTGAATGGTGGAAGCAGTAGGATTTAGCCTCTACTGTGCCTCTGAGCTTATCTTACCTACTTCTCCTGTCTTCTCACAGTACGTTGTTCCCAGTGATCCTTCAGTTCTTCCTCCTAATCTGTTTATTCTGTCTTGGGGCGTCTGGGTGGTTCAGTCTCTGTTGAGCTCTGCCTTTGGCTTAGGTCATGATTCCAGGATCTCCAAATGCTTCCCTCCCTCTGTCTTTCTCTCTCTCTCATGAATAAATAAATAAAATCTTTTTAAAAAATTCTTTCTTGCCTCAAAGTCCTTTTAAGTTTTCCTTCTGTTCAGGATGCTTAATCCCTTTTCCCACGCGAAAGCTATTCATTTTTAGGACACCTCTCAGATGTCTCTCTCTGTAATAGCCTTTCCCAGCCTCCCTCAGTGCTGTGCCTATGTCTGTAGGCTGAACTTCTCCACAGCACAAGCCCAGCTGTAATACTGCAGTCTGAGTGAAACAGAACTTCAAAAGGGCAGGACCTGGGTTGTTACATTGACCCTTGAACCTAGCAAAGCTTCTGTAGTTACTGAATTCATGAATACTGTTTGTATATGACAGCTTTTTATATTGTAAGGAAAGTATATTTTTAGATGTATATATTTTGTATTTTAAAATAGGCTTTAAACTCTTCCCAATTTTTGTTTTTAGATGTTAAGGAAGAAGATAAATCTAAGGACAATAGTGGTGAAAAAACAGATACCAAAGGGTAAATTATATTCCTTATCTAGTGATTTTTATATACTATAAAAATAATAAATACCTTTACTTTGGGTGTGTATTTTGGGAAGTGCTGGACTGAACTTGCTTGAGAGCATCAGTAAGTTGTATGAGGCACTCTAAATGTTCGTCCATATTTGTGGATAAGGTAATCTATGCCATCTTAACCATCCAGTTTATTTGTTCATCTCTTACTTATGTAGCTTGCCTTAAAAAATGATAAAGACTATAATAATACTGTATAACTCAACATAAATTAGTTTGTACTCTTGTACGTAATGTATTTGAGACCTTTTGCTAGTAACTTCATGTGATCTTTTCATGGTTCTTTTAATTTCCATATATGAAATTTTTTAGTGTTGTGAGGTAGATAAATTTAAACATGGGGCTAGCATAACATAATTCATAATGCAATTATGTTTAGCAAAATCATAATTGAGGTTTTTATAATCATAAAGCATGTAAATACTTGACCATGTATAATTTTGTGCCAGCCTCTATAGGATAACTTGGAATAGATTCTAAAAATCACTGGAAAGATTAAGGGAGTCAGTACCCCAAAAACAAGGCATTATCATGTGTTTCTGGGCATGACCCTATAGAACCCTAATATTCTATGTTACCTCTTTTAACAGAGCCAAATCAGAACAGCTCAGCAACCCTTGAATTTGAGTGTCTCACCAATTTCAGATACCATAAAAGAGAAAATATTGGGAAGAAAAATTTTTTCTTTTGGAAGACTTCTGGCTTCATTTTATACTACTTTGGCATGGACTGTATTTATTTTCAAAATGGCTTTTTTTTTTTGTTTTGTTTTCATTTTTCTTGGCAAGTTTTATTGTGAGTTTTCTAATTATGAAGCAAAATTTCTTTTCTCCACCATGCTTTATGTGATAGTATTTAAAATTGATGTGTTATTATGTCAAAAACTGATCTATTAAAGAAGTAATTGGCCTTTCTGAGCTGATTTTTTCCATCTTTTGTAATTATCTTTATTAAAAAATTGTACTTGGATTGTCTTTTGTCTGTTTATTACAACATGAAATCCTTTTTGGGGGGCTAAATACCATGACTTTCTGTACAATTAGGATACATTAGGAGTGAAAGATAACTGATTACAACTTCAAGGTTATCCATTTACTGTTCAGGAAAGAGTATTTTACAGTACTTCTTTCTTAATGCAATAGCAGTTCTGCTGTCTTGGTTTTTATAGTTTGGCCAGTCACCAGTGAAGATTGGCACCTCTTTATAGTAATTTATCTCTAAATTAATAATATAAGCTATGCGGTTGAAATCAGGAATTATATTTGAGCTGAACCAAAGATTCCCAAAAACTGGAAATGAAAATTCTGATTTGAAAGAAGAAATCCTAATCAGAGAGGGAAACTGTCTTCCATACTGAGCAGTATGTGACTTCGTTGCCAACCCCACTATGTACGAAGTAGAAAAGGAATTGTATGGTTGTGTTTGACCAGAATTTTCCTGTATTCATATTAACTCTGTCTAAAATAAAACCTATTTAGACAAAACCTGGTCCTTTTACTGCATTTTGCATAGCATTCAGGTTCCACTATTGCACACAAGCTTCCAGACCAAGGAAATAAACTTTATTTTTCCGTTTATTGAGTATTTGTTCATTTTAATGCCTTGGATATCCAACTGAAGGTAATTGAAGAACGCCTGCAGCCACAGCCTACATTCTAGTGGTAGAGAGCAGACAAGTGGGTAATTTATACTTACTCTAGGATATGCAACAGAAAAAATAATGTTTTAGGAACTTGTCAAAATGAGTGAAATTACCTTTTTGCCAGACCTGAAGTGATTGTTTTGAAATAAAAATCAAAAAATTCTAGAAGATGATGTGGAAGATGTTTCTCTGTAAGCCCCTGTGCTGAGAAATACTTCAGACATTCACAGAAGCACCCGATTTAGGTAATGAACAGCCATGGACCGATTCAGATTTAACACTTTTTTTCACTTTTGCCATATTTCCTTCAAGTGGTTTTTCTTTTCCTTTAAATATATTATACCAGGATGAAACATCTTTATACACTTTGCCATTTAACTCCCCTTTCCCACTTTGCAGAAGTAACTGTTTCTCTGAAGTTCGTGGATATTTTATCCATGCTTTTACTCTTGCTGCAAATCCAGCATCTGAGCCTTGATGACATTAGGTATTAACTCAGTCCTTCGTTAAGGGACTAAGGTAATGTGTTTAGTGTTCATGAAACACAGAAAGTATCACGTACATATACTTATGTAACTTGGTTCTTATATTGTGATTTACACCATTGAGCAAGTGGTAGTTCATTTTAGCTGCTGTGTATTACTGTTCTATTGTAAAGACACACCAAACATCTGTTTCAGTACTGTAATGAACCTCCTTGGGCACGTTTACCTTTTGTTTTCCTATTTACAAATAGCATTATATATAACTGAAGCTTCAAGGGGATTGTGAAACATGCACATTCAGCCCAAGTGACTTAGTACAACCTCCAAACAGCTGTAGAAAGACCAAAGGCTCTGTTTACAATAGCAATAATAATTTCTGGAAATGAAAGTGTAAAGAAGTTCTGGTGTTTAATGAGAAAAGATCAGAGTAACTAGGTAAATATCAGTGTACATTTGGAAATTAATAATGGATAAACATTTCAGATTGGTGAGGGAAGAAAAGGGTTATTCCTAAAGGAGTGTTGGGATGATGGGTAGTCGAATGGGAAAAGTTTCATACCTTCCACTAGAAAAATTTAAATTGGAAAGAAAATGAGACCCTAAGTACTAGAAACTGTTTAAGAGACTTCAAAGAGTAATTGGGAGTAGAGAAAATCTGACTCCAAACTACGGGAGAAACGATACATTTGACAAAAAAATTGAGGCTAACAAAATAGCTCTTAAGTTGAGGGAAATGACATGGCTGGCGGCAGTGTGCAGAATTACAACTTGGCCACAATTAAAAAGGCTAATATCTGAAACTAGTAGAGAAAGACTGAAAAAGTGCATGAAGGATGTGAATACTGGGAAAGAAAAGAAAATAAATAGTTATTATATACAGAAAGATCTTGGGGCACCTGGGTGGCTCAGTGGGTTAAAGCCTCTGCTTTCAGCTCAGGTCATGATCCCAGGATCCTGGGATTGAACCGCGCATCGGGCTCTCCGCTCAGCAGGGACCCTGCTTCCTCCTCCCTCTCTCTCTGCCTGCCTCTCTGCCTACTTGTGATCTCTGTCTGTCAAATAAATAAAATTTTAAATACAGAAAGATCTTAAACCACTTAGGAAATGCGAATTAAAATCTATGAAGGTAATTTTTTTAATTTTTTGACCTTTTTTTTTTAAACCTATTGTAAATTTGAAAAACGTTGGCAAGGGGATGAGGAAATTCTCATACACTGTAGTAGAGAGTGAGAGTCGCTATAACCTATAATGACTTAATTTAACATCCTATATAAAAATTACAAGTAAATCTGGAGTGCCCTGGGTGGCACAGTCAGTTAAGTGACTGACTCTAGGTTTTGGCTCAGGTCATGATCTCAGGGTTGTGAGAGAGAGCCCTGTGCTCTCTCTTTCCCCCTGCTCTCATGCATACATCTTTTTTAAAAATTAAAAATCTGATTCAAAATTCCATTTCGAGAAATATACTTGTGCAAATGACTTTCAGAAGTCATTATGCAACATTGTTTGAAATAAAAAGATTTAAAGGACTTAAATGTAGAGGAGGAGTTGAGGGATAAGTTCCGAAAGAATACAGCCATAGCAAGTATGAGAAGTACATACTACATATGGAAAGATCTCAAGATCTACCATTAAAAGAAAGAAGGAGGAGGTAGAATACATGCCATACTATCTTTTTTGAGTGTAAAAAGAAAAATAAAATTGATGGTAATATCTAGCAAAGATGATAATGAAATGGAGCACTGGAGCATTGGCTGCTTTCATGATGATTTGAACGTTGCACCAAGTGAACATTACACAAAAATGTTGATTAAAAAACAAGCAGATAGGGCGCCTGGGTGGCTCAGTGGGTTAAGCCACTGCCTTCGGCTCAGGTCATGATCCCAGGGTCCTGGGATCGAGTCCCGCATCGGGCTCTCTGCTCAGCAGGGAGCTTGCTTCCCTCTCTCTCTCTCTGCCTGCCTCTCTGTCTACTGTGATCTCTCTCTGTCAAATAAATAAATAAAATCTTTAAAAAAAAAAAAAACAAGCAGATAATTTCTGGGCAAAAGGATAGAAATTTTACACAACCTTACAGCTTCCTTTTCCTGTCTCAAATCATCTTTTGTAATGACTTGCAGATTCATACAGTTCAGTTGCTGGGACAATAAGAACTATCTTAGTTTAATTTCTTTGAAGAAGAAGGAAGGTGTGCCATGTGGCTAAAAGCCATCGAGCCTAAGGCATTGAGCCCAAGATGAGATTATATAAACCATCTGGGAGAATCATGTTCCTGATCAGGGTAGAGTAGCTATCAACTATCACTAGCATTTCATTTTTTAAATATGCACTTTGAAAACCAAGACCTCAACTCAGGGAAAAACAAAAACGGTCCTTTAATTTAATGAAGATGTTGCTTTGTTCTTAATTTTTCACATTTCCTCATGACATAGGTGAGTGCTTGTTCCAAGTCAGCATTGGTACTGTTTAAGTACCAGTAAGTACTATAATATAATTAATCTTTGTCCTTCTACTAAAGCCACTAGCATTCTGTCAATAGAGGAGAGTTTTTGAAGTTCTTGCATTGAAGTAATTTACCTGCAACTTCTGGTTCCAGTGCCTTCAGTAAAAATCTTCCTGAAGCTTCTCTGTTCTCTGGGATTCATAACATTTCTTAACTTATATGGGGATATAAATGACGTAGGTTTTCAAGGTTTAAAATAAAAACTTTGATTTGTGTGCTATCACAAGTAGTAAATTTCAAAGCGTATGATCTCTTTTTCTTCACCATAATATTGTGTTTACGAACCTCTCTGTGCCTCCATTCCTTTTTAATTTAAATGAGGAAGATGATAGTCATTCTTATGTCATAGGGTTATTGCAAGGATTGAGTTGATACATACTTAATGTTCAATGAGTCTTGTCTGCTGCGGTTAAGAAAGCCTGGCTAGCTCAGTCCATAGAGCATGTGATTTGGTTTCAGGTCATGAGTTCGAGCCCCACGTTGGATGTAGAGATTAAAGAAATGCAGGAATCAATAAATGTTAGCTGCTATTGTTACCATGTCAGGTAAAGAGGGATAGATGGGGCTGAAATGATTCAGGAGAGTCTTAGATCTTCAGGTATTTATTTATTCATTCATTTGTTTTTAAAAGATTTTATTTATTTCAGAGAGATTGGGGGGGTGGGGCGGGCAGAGAGAGAGAAGGAGAAGCAGTCTCCCAGCTGAGCAGGGAGCTAGATGCAGGACTCCATCCCAGGACTGAGCCGAAAGGCAGACACCCAACCAACTGAGCCACCCAGGTGCCCTTCAGGTATTCTTTAAACATCACATGAGTTGCCTTTGAGCCTTTTGGTGCAGTCTGATGCTTTTTAAAACTCCTAGGTCCATGGTAAATAGAGAAACAATCTTTTGAGAACTGATTTTAGCAAGAAAGATAGAATTGGCAAATTTAGGAAGATCTTAATGCCCCTGCAATTTACTTAAGGATAATCTGTCAAGCAAAATTGTTGTGAATGGGTTATAGAAAAAATAGGACTTACGTTGTTATTGGCTATTCACATGAGTAGCAATGTTAACGTGAAGAGATGATGCTCTGGAGAGTCACAGTATTTACAACTGCGGAACAATTGCTGCATTTCCTCACCTCACCACAAGATGGCATATTTCCATTGTTTAAATGCTCTTTGTGCATTTTCTCCTATAATCACTTGGTCCATTTAACAAGCAGAGTAACACATACTAACAGACTCTTTTGGATGCAGTATTGGATTCAATACTATTTGAATTAGGCTACAATTTGGCGTACTC